CCCCAGGGGGGATGGCCACGCCACAATCCCTTCTACTCCATTCTTCTCTCAGGATCTTGGGCATGCATGCACACGCGCCCAGTGTGAGTTTAAGCCACCAGGTCCGGGACACGAACTGTGGTTGACTACATGGGAGTCCAGCGACATAGCCATTACGCTAACTGCTGGTCCCTGTTTTATGCCTTTTTTGACACCACTCTGACAGGTGGGGGAAGTATGTACAGGAAGGAGTACAGTTTTCCCATTTGATCTGCATTGACATTGGAAGTTTGTGATCCTCATTGCTGCTGGGTGGGCTGGGAGTTCCAGCCCCCCACCAGCTCTCTGTAGGTACCACCCCAACCAGGAGCAGCAGCAGTGTCCTGTTACCACACACTCGCGGCTTTCTCTCACACTGTGGCAGTTAGAGAGCCTTGGTAAATGTCCTCGTATACTACCCCAGGAAGGGAATGGAAGGGCACATTCTTCCTGCCAGATGAGGTGGGAGTCTAGGAAGTCCAGGATCCTAAAGTACTCTCCATTGTCCCTCACAGAGGGAAGGGATCTCCCTACCATTTAATGAGGATGAAAGTCTTGGCTTCCTACTCATTCTTCTCTGATATCACCCTGCCAGGGGATTGAGGAAATATTTATAGCCTAGGACTGGTGGAAAGATAGGCTCTCCACTCAGCTGCTAGCTGTAGAGGTGAGCAAGAAGGCGTATGTGTTTTCTGTGGTGTTTGGTTAGAGTAGAGTGGTTATTGCCTGGAAATTTTTCTGTCCTAGGTTGCTCCTTTCCTGGCCACTTGACTAGAGAAAACAAGATTTATGCAGAGGCTTATTTTGTCTGTCTCTGTTGTCATTTTCAGGTTGCTAGCTTCTCCAATATTCAATGGCAAAGAAGAGGCAAAAAGAACTCAGGGAATTTGCTTCTGTGTTTTCTTCAGGTCCTGACTTCCTTAGTCAGTCTTCTTTCTCTCTACCTTCCAGAATCTTCTTAAGTTCTACTTACGATGTCCAGGGTTTTTTGCTTTTTTTTTTTAAGAGTTTTTTTTTTGTTGTTTTTTTTTTTGTTTTGTTTGTTTGTTTTTTTTTGCTATAGGGCACGTGCACTCACCAGATAGATAGAGAGACAGAAAGCCAGAAATCACCCTCAGGGGGGATGGCCACGCCGCAATCCCTTCTCCTCCAGTCTCCTCTCAGGATCTTGGGCATGCACGCACACGTGCCCAGCGTGAGTTTAAGCCACCGGGTCCAGGACTTTAACCACCGTCGACTACGTGGGAGTTCAGTGACATAGCCATTACGTTAACTGTTGGTCCTGATGTCCAGGGTTTTTAGCAGTACTTAGTGACAGAAATATGGGAAAGTATGAGAAGGCTTCAAAAAATTTATGGATTTTTTTGGTACCAAAATAAAATTGTACTTTAATTCCATTTTCCCATGAGATTTTTGAAGTCCCTTCAAATTTCTACCTCTAGAAGTAACACATTCCCCTCAAATCAGACTTTTCATGTTCTTGTACTGACTTTTCTTGAACTTTTAAGTATATCTTCCATGTGTCTTTTGACCAAATTGTATGAGTATATAATAAATGTAATATAAATGCTGTTTTTATTACAAAAACTGTGATAGCCAAAAAATTCAGGCAGGCACAGGAAATACTTTCCTTTTTATTATTATTATTATTATTTTGCCATAGAGCATGTGCACTCACCAGAGAGAGACAGTGAAAAGAAAAGTGAAAAATCACCCTCTGGGGGTATGGCCATACCATAATTCATTCTCTTCCATCCTCCTTGGTTTTTGGGCATGCACGCACATGCACTAGGCATGATTTTCAAGTCACTGGGTCCATGATTTGAACCGTGATCAACCATGTGGGAGTTCAGTGCCTTAACCATTATACCACCTGCTCATCACAGAAAATACATTTTTACTCTTGTTTTTTTAGCATTTATCTGGGTAATACAGCATTTACCCAAATGTTCTTTTCAATACTTTAATACTTCCACTTTAGAATAACTGTTTTTAAAAATTAGGGATTCTTTCGGGACCAAAATAGTAACTTAAGGATCAAAAAGATCATTTTAATGAATAAAAATGTGAGAACCAGCAGATGGTATAGTGGTTACGCTGCTGGACTCCCACATACATGGTCAACAGTGGTTCGAGTCCCAGACCTGTCAACTTAAAACTCGCTCTGGGCACATGTATGTGTGTGCCCAAAATCCTGATGTGAGAATGGAGGAGAAGGGATTGTGGCATTGCCATCTCCCCTGCAGGAGTGGTTTATTGCTTTTTGCCTCTCTGTCTCTCTGGCAAGTGCATGTGCCCTATAGTAAAAATCTCTCTTTCAAAATAAATAAAAATGTGTATTTTGACTGGCTAATATACTCTTATTTTCATATTTGAGTAACACAAGAAAAATGTGCTTGCAAAGGGCAATTTTCGCGTGGTATTAATAGCTAACATATGACTAGATGCAAGATAGATGTCGGTGCATATGCCTCACCTGATTTTTAATAGTGGTGTCTTAGTGGCAAGACGATCACATTTTTTGCTTTCCTAGACTTTTAATTGAAAAGGAGATTGAAATCCAAATTAATGTTTTGGCAAAACAGTATCTAAATGATGATGAGCATATGTATTCATTTGTGGTTAGGCAGTTGGTTATCGCTGAGATCAGGATTAAATTGAGAAGTCTACAGTGTGATTTTCTACTTACCTTCAGCCTCCTAGCACTGCCCTAAATAAAGAGCTGGCTCTAGAACACACACACACAATATTTTGAAGAGCTTTAGATCTGTACATTTACAATTTTGCATTTTTAATTATTTAAGCTTCATTTACATAATTACTGCTCTCACTGGTTTCGATGTGTCTAAATTAATCAGATACTTTTAATACTAAACTAATTACTTAAATCAGGACAAGCTGCAACTGCATACAACATAATGCAGCTTTTTCTCTTTTGATTTTTATGATTAAGTCTTGTGGTCATGAAGTACTTCACACCAGAGCGTGCATTATCTATTGTTCTTAAAACTGCAGTCGTGCACCACCACGCAGGCCCCATGAGATGATAATGAGCTATCCCACACAGCAGACTACACCCTGAGGTCTGTGTAAGTACACTGCTTGACCGTCATATGACTATGAACCTAACAGTTCTCAAATGAAGAGTACATCCTCACTGTTAAGCAATATATGACCGTACTCTTTAAGCTAGCAAAACCTATTCAATTTTACTAGCACATAGTCTGTAACTTAATTTGCTATAAGCAGATGACAGTGATTCACTTCCTTCAAAAAAGTAATAAAATTAAGGCTAGATAATGAAAAATTAGGTAACGATGTACATACTAATAAACAGTAGCAGACCAGATTATTGTCACATGGAAATAAAATGCAGTAACTATCAAAAAATTTTACTTTTGGGGGGATGTAATATAAATCATAAAACCCTTAAGAAGTAAGTATTTTGTTATTTGTAGTTGGATCATGCAGTATTAAAGTGGTTTAATAAATACCCTGACTTCTTTCAACTTCCAATTGTGTTTTCTAATTAAATAGGACAAGTTGCAGGAATGGTCTGTTCTGTACATGATGCTGGGTTTTATGGTAAGTTCTACATGCATGAGTCATCCAATTAAACCTCACAATCTCTCTCCGTTAATATAGTTCAAAGAATCTAAGTTTTGTTGTTGGAGTGAATGCATTATTACCTTTTTCCAGATTTTTCTAACAAGTGAGCTGCAAAATTGGAAATAAAATTTAAGTTCTAGCTTGGCCTGTTATGCTAAGTCTGTCCAAACTCTTACATTTGCTGCAGAGTAGAAATAGTTACGATGCTCTACTGACAACAATAAAAACGCATGGCTAGGCCCAGCAATGGCACAGCAGTAGTGCAATGCTCTGCAATGGGGGAAGCCATATGGAAGACCAGGGCTCAGCTTCTAGGGTGACCTGTACACACAGGTCATATGTGTGTGTCATAATTCTGGCTGTCAGGGGAGAGCTGGAGTGGGCGGAGTAAATCAGCAGGAGACTCCATTGAGTGTGCATCTCTTTCTCTCATGAAAGAAAAAAGAAAGAAAGAAACTTTTAAAAATATTTGGCTATATCTCACCTTTTCCAAAAGTGTTTTAGAAAATTATTCAGAAATTGATGATGATGAAAAGAATTTTTTAAAGTAAAAATAAAAGAAGCAAATCACCTTTGATTTTTAGTGAAACCAGTGGTTATTCTGCTCCATTTCTTAGCAGGTCTGAGCTAGAAATAGCAGTTCTCTGCATTCTCAGTATGTCCTTCATGGAATCTTTGCCAAATGCCAGTCAAAACCTTGCCCCTCTTCACTTCCAACATGTGCAAAAGAACAAAGGCAACTGCTTCCTCTCTGAACACATCCACCTGCCTGAGGTTATGTCATGGTTAGCAGGGCTGCAGTCCTCATCTGCACCCAGAGAGAAGTGTGACTAAAGTTCTATTCAAAAAAAAATGCTGACTCTGGGCTGGGGCTGAGGCATAAGGTCCAACCTCCTCTCTCTTAGCATGATAAACTTGAGCAGTACTAAGCCCACATAACATACGACTGTCTCCAGGAGACTTTTCAGGTCATATCTACCAGCATTTCCAAGAGCTAGGGCTTTTATGATTAATGCAAGAATCTCTCATCAGAACCCTCTTAAAAGAGGCACTTCCCAAATCAAGAAAACCATAACTCAATCCATTAGCAGTTCTGACTTTCAAAGTGCACAGGTTGACAATGTCCTGTCTAAAATGAAGACATCAGCACCCTTACCATCAAGTTCTTCTATCTGAAATTTAACCTAAACAGATTAACCAGACAACATATTGACAGGAGAAAGGAGAGTAAGAAAAGAAGGCAAATAGGTATTAAATGCCACTGCATGTATTTTTATCATTTAATCCTCACAGTAATCCTATGAAGTTGATATTTTCTCTACTTTGCCCAAGAGCATACAGTGATTCAGAGAGATTAAATCATTTGCCTAAATTCACAGATCTAATATACAACACAGAAAAATAGAGAAACACTATGAGCTTCTAGTGACTGTCTAATACTGAGTCTGGCACAGTGCACGTAGTCCTTACATAACCGTACATGCTTTCTCATGTGACAGAGCAGGAAGTAAAGCCTCAGAGGGGTTAAGCGATGTGCCCAGTGTCACATGGCTGCCCAGCCGGGACTCCTAGGGAAGCTCTGCCCAACTCCAAGCATATTATCATCCCACCAGGTCCTACTGCTTTCCGTCTGTATCACTTCATTGCCATCATGTCACGGTGACTCCCGGCAGCAAATGTTTGCCATCAGAATACCAAATGCAGAACCTCTATGGCTCACCTTAGTTTAAAAGCCACACAACTATTCTAAAAATTTGTGAGTAGTTTGCTAGAAAAATATAAGATGGAGAAAGGGGAATAGGACTGTGTATTGCCGTTCACCATTGTGAAAAGCGGGTAGTTCTGCAAGTGTAGAGTAGCTTAGACTGAACCGCGATTTGCGTAAACTCAGTGGGCCTATTCTTTCATCTATTAAATTCTATGATTCAATTTAATGATAATACTAAGATACCCCACAGTTTAGTTTTTGTTGAAGAAAAGTACAGCTTTATTGCGAAGAGAAAAGCAAGGAGAGTAGGCAGCTCATGCCATGAGACTCGGTCTTTCCGAGGTGTTCCCTGTGAGAAATTCACTCAACTGTCTAAAGCCAAAGAATGGGCAGAGACAGGAGGTACAGGGAAGCAAGACTTCAATGACAGTCTTGTAAGATCTGGTATCTGTTGGACAGGCATATCCAAATTGGTTACACAAAGCAATTTACTCCCTAGTGTGAAAGTCCCTTCTGTAGTTCCTCTTTGGCTGAGTTTACTGAGTCTGTGGGGTGTACAATCTTCCTAGACATCAACTAAGTTTTATTATTCCCTTATTAGGTATCAAGGCACAGGCTTAGGACAAGCCCATGAAAAAGGCCCACAAAATGTCCTGAGGAGGGAGAAGACCGGGAAGTAAAAAGGAGCAAAAGGCTGTTGACCGACCAACATCTTGAGAAGTCATTCATCAAGGGCGACTTGATTTTGAGTTGTGTTTGTTCAGGAACTTTTCAGGAATCAGTACTTTCAGGGTTGTAGCTTCTGCAAGGTGGTCAAGCAATTTTGTTACGCTATTCTTGGAAATGAATCAATTAAGGCTCCCCCGCCCCATTACTCACATGTGTTTTTAAGGGCAAAACTAGGGGTAGAGGTCCCAGGCACATGATCAGTTCAATGATTGGTTCAAGAAGGTGTGATCATCACATGAGCATTCTTGATTGGCAAGGCCTTAGATGTCAAAAATCTATTAAGGTCTCTGGAGTACTAAGCATGAGTCTTTGTGTTCACAATCAGCAGTTTCCATCCTATAAAACATCTTAGGTATTGAAATTAAACCCTTATTTTCTCCTTTAAGTGAGCGTTTTAGAAGTCTTATGGCCCTATTCATGGCCAATGTTGCTTCATTACCATAACCAAAGTCTGAAGTCTTATCCCTAATTTTGGGCCATTACTATATAAATTGATGACCTTATAGTCCAAGACCCTTAGGAAAAATCATATTTTTAGTTTACCCCTTATTAATTTTCAGTTTGGGAAATTCTTAATTTCCTTTAACAGTAGGGGAAACTGAAGACTCATTCCTCTTTGGGGGTCCCTGCTCAGTTTCAGTCCCTCCTATTCTTTGACAAACTACACAGTCCTGAGGGAAAATGGGCAATGACCAATCTGGCTGCTTCTTGCTAAACGGGGGCATAGTTTTAGAGGTCAGGACTGGAGAGAAAGGCATACTTTCATTTCAAAGTACTCACAACTTTGCCTTCAGTTTTTCATTACCGTTAGGCTAGCACAAGCCTCCGTTGTTAAGTCCCCAAATCTGAAAGCACAGTGAATACATACACACAACAAAAAAGACAGCCAAGCTGCTAGCCTGTTTTCACCAGTAGCCAGGTAGCTTTTTACTTTATTTTCCCAGATGCATTTTATTTGTACCCAAGATTTGTAAGTGCAACATGAAATGTCACCATCATACAAACTCCTCTCTAATAAGCCAAGATATAATTCAAAGCTATTTTGTGGTCTAAGACAAATTTTGCCAGTCAATTACAGTGAAAATAGCAGGCTGAGCTGAGACTTCCCTAGTGTGTGGTTTGCATTTACACCAATTTGAAGAGTCCATCAAACTGACCATCCTCAGTCTGTAAAATGTCAAGAAAAGCAGTTTTAACTTTAATAAAAGTGTTAGGCCGGAGGCCTGGGCAGCTTGGATATGGAGGTTGTATGCCACACCCTAGTCAGCTGATACAACCCGGAACTAGCCTGTCATCAGACCTGCACTGCACTCAGATGCTGTCTCTCTAAGGCACTCCTCCTCCCTATACCCTTATAAAAATCGCTAAGCCCTTCCCAAGGGCAAGACTTCTCTGGCCCTCTATCTCATTCTCTGTCAGACCAGCGAACCTCACCGGGGAGCACTTCCATTAAAGGCTCTACATCTCTATTTACTCACATGGTCAGGCCATTCCTTACAAAATGAAAATCCAAACAAGTTAAGAAAAATTTAATGAAAACTTAAACTTAGGAACAACTTTAGGATTCAATCCAAAGTTTAGGTAAGTACTAAAAAATTCAAAACTAAAAAACACTTGTTAGTGCACTATAGTTTTCCTCTGAAACATTTTTTCCCCCCTCTTCCCCCTTTTTCTAAAGAGAAGCATAGTAAAACTATTGGGTCATCAGAAAAGTCATGACATATTTTTTTTCTATGTTTTTCTATGCAAAATGCATCATGGCTTTTCCAAAGACCCAATTACTTATTTGCACAAAATAAGGTTAGTCTCAATTTGGTCTGCATTTGCACAAAGCCACATAATACTACTAATTGATTTAGTTGGCTTTTCTGGAACCTTTTATAAGGAATTTCAGATTAGACTCTGAAGAAACTCCCAAGGTTACCAAACCAAGTCAGGAATTCACCATCTGACTGTGCCTTTAATACCTGTACTTGAAGTTCTGGGGCCTAGCAGGAAGTGAAATCCTTTACTTATCTGCAAGGCGGAACCATTTAAGGTACCAGGCAATCTTTCTGAGGACTTCTGTGGGCTCTCTTGAGATCAACCTTAGCTCTTTAGCTATCTGGGTATGTCTTCAGGTATGACATACCAGTCAAAGCCCTGGCAATAACCTGTGTTCCCAATTTCAGATGCAAGGCATCAGGTACTATTGAACTTACGCAAATAACCATAATGCCACAAAATAACAATACTCACAAATACTTTCCAGTTCTGAAGAGGTCAGGAAAGGAGAAAAGTCAATGTTTCAATGCTGTTTTCAAAAAATTTTAGCAAATCTTTAAATCTGGAAAAGAAAGCATAGAAGAAAATCAGCAATGTTTTGGTTAAAAGTCATAAAATCATACTTCATCAGTTCAGTCTCATGTAATTAATCTCTCTTCTTTTGAGTTTGCAGTGTTCTTGTGGTCCAATCTTCCCATTCAAATCATGGAAGTTCAGAAATACATTATCAAAAAACCCTTTGATTAAGCTGGTTTTAAATTGCTAACTATAAATTAAGAATACCTCCAGAGTTGTCAGCATGTGAAGCAAGGATCCAAATGGCTTCTGTTCTTCATGGCTATTCTGGATGCCACATGTACACTTAGGGTAAAGGAAGACTTGGGGAACATTGGGGAAATCTGTGTCCAGTAATTCAGAATTCAGTCTCTACACAAGTTGAGATTAGCTGATGTGGGACTAGCTTGATATCGCCTCCCTCCCCCCGGGGCAAATGAGTTTACATAACTAGCCCTGCTTTTTATAAGTAACTAAAAATAATGGTTAAGAAAAAGCAAATTGGGTAAACGTAAATGGAGAAAATGTTTGTAATTGAACCTGCCATCATTTTTACACTTTTCAATATAGTTTAAACCTTAAAAGCAATGATATGTTAAATTAAGTAATATTAATGAAAAGTTTGAGTTATTTCTAAATATTGAAGCATTAACTGTTAAGTAAAAGTTTAAGTCTATATACTTTGGCACCTTATTTTATACGGTATAAAGAAGCTAAATATTCTTGAATCTATTGTGAACTGTGCTGTAAGAAACTATTTCTAGCTACTGTAGAATGAACGTTAAAATTCCAAAACTAGAAATTAGAGAAACAATTAGGTATCTAAAATACACAGGGAAAACTAAGATGTTTTTGGTGAATAGGAAATAGAAAAAGACGTGAGAATGCATTTTTGTTTAAAAGTAGTTTTGTCTGGTATAGAGGGTGTTTGAAAAATAGTTTCAGAGCAAATAAATGGAAAAGAAATATTATAGATAAAACTAAATGAATATTTTAAAATGTGTAATCTTGAAAGGTAAAACTAACTGGAATTGACTACATTTATTAAAACACACACTGATACAAGACTAAAATTTGTTTTAGCTTTTAAACAAGGTTTTCATGTAATGCTAACAAAAATAAGTAGTTTCTTATTTTTTAACTTTTTGAGCATAAGAAGAAAAAGAAGCGTTCTGTGTGCCTTCTGCTGTCTTAGTCAGGTCATTTAGCTACTGTAATTAAAACATCTGATTCTCCTCTACCAAAGAGTAAAGTTTTTCTTTATGGCTATACTTTAAACATATTTTAATTTGTTACTTTGCTTAAGCAAATGACAGATACAGTGAGTTGATTCTATTTTAATCAAATGCTGTAAACATTTGATATTTGACAGACAAATCTCTGAAGTCAAATTTCAGTTTCAGTTTAAGTCTTTTGACCTTAGACTAATTTTTGGAATTTTTTTTTTTTAGAGGTTTTTGCTATAGGGTGCATACCAGAAAGAAAGAGACAGAAAGCAAGAAATCATCTCCCAGAGGGGATGGCCATGCCGCAATCCCTTCTTGTCCATTCTCCTCTCAGGATCTTGGGCAGGCACGCACACTTGCCCAGCATGAATTTAAGCCACCAGGACCAGGACTTGAACTGCAGTCAACTACATGGGAGTCCAGTGACATAGCCATTATGCTAACTGCTGGCCCTGGAAATTGTTTTGTTTAAAGAAGTATTTTATTTAACTTTATATTTCTTTATTTTAATTTGAACAGAGATGGAAAGAGTTAAAGAGAGAAGGAAAGTGAGAAAGCAAGCTTCCAGGTCTGTGACTTGAACCACAGTCAGCCCTGTGGGAATCCAGCACCCTTAATCACCACGCCACCTGCCAGCCACAATTTCTGGAAAGTCTTAAAAGGGCCCTTGGATGTCTAAGAAAGACAAATTAGACTTTGGACATGTTGAAATTATTTGGAAAACATTGCCAAATATGAAATGGTGTTTAGTGCTCTGTGTATAAAAATTTCTGTAAACAAGTGTTCCAAAATTGCATGACATTGCTTAAATATCTGTTACTATTAGAATGTTATTAGCCATACTTGTAATGCTAAATAGTTCTACCATTGTTTGCCACAGAAATGATCGAACTTGTCAATTGTGAGTTCCAATAAACTCAACAGATCTTGAACCATGGTCATTTTCAGTTCTGATTTTGTCCGTAGCTGAGTGCTGTATTCTGATGTGCTTTCTAAGACATTTTGTAGTAGGCTACAGTTCAAAAATTGCCAATTTTAAGGACATTTATGAAAAAGACTGTGATAAGTACTCTTGAATATAAGTTTTTGATAACTTTGAGATCATATTTCTCCCCAGCTTTTAAAAAGGTTATATATGGTATCTAAATGAAGCCAGGAGACTGTCATATTATTTATAATCAGTGTCACACTAAAATACATGATGTAGGGCAACCTTAGCATTCTTTAATAAATGTACCACTTCCCCAAACAAACAAAAAACAGAAGAAGCTAAATTCCCTTCTAACTTTAAAGCACCTTGAGAAAATCACTAAGATACAGTAAGTCTGATCCCTACTATGAAGGGAAGCTATGGCTCTTAATGTATGGTCTAAAGACATCAGGCAATAAGTTCAGATATTTTACCAATTAAAAACACTTTCACTGTGATAATTTGCCATTTTATTTTAAAAATTTCAAGATTAAGTGCTGGGTCCTTGAGTAGCGTTTTTCATTCCAAAATACCTGTCTGTGGCTGTTTAGGTACTAATGTCAGTGAAGATCAGGCCTAATGGCAGTTTATCTTTGAGCATAAAATAAAAAACTAAGC